ATCCATAATCATCGGAGTCACCAGACTCACTGGTCGCCACTGAAGTATCACCCACGATTGCTCCCGTCTCATGAGTAATACAATCAAGCAACTCGCAAACACGCTCAGAATCAGTGAGCTGTGTCGGCACCCCCACCAATGGCAAGAAGCTGCCCTCGGCGTTCTGAATGAAATGTGAATCTGTGCCCCAGAACGACACCACTTGGTTAAGCCTCAACCATGGTTTACCAAGAAGTGCTGGGTATCCTGCGTTGGTGTGCATCAGATGGAACAAAACATCCGTCATGACACCAGCCACATCAACATGAGTTTTGACATAGCCAAGCAAAGGTCGCCGTCCACCGTCTGCCATACGCACCACAGCACCACTTGGACCCAAAACACGCAATCCACACACTTTGGCTGCTTCTGGTTCCATCAGGTTTAGCATTGCTCCAGGGTCAATAATAACCCCTTGGCAGGCCCGATCAGCAATATGGCAGTCAATTCTGATTGCTTTCTCGGTTGTCAACTTGTTGACCTCAGCTGCCATCACTTCTGGTGTTCTTGTGACTGGTTGTGTATTGGTGATTGGTTGTGCACTGCTCATAGCTTGAGGCTGTGAGCTGCCTTCCACATCCATAGCTTCTCCCTTTGGCTTTGTTTTCTTCGGCCTATCCAAGGCAATCCCAGTGCGCAATTCACGCCGCACTGTTGGGGATACTTGGAGTAGCTGTCCCAGCGAAATTGAAACCGGCAGATTGAACAAAGCTTCAGATACTTGGAACTTGGGTTTCCCCCGGCCACACACAATCTCTGTCAATGGAGTACGTTTCTTCCGTTCTCCCACACGCTTGACACGGACTCTTTTCTTACTTGGTTCTTCTTTGTCCTCTTCAATCGTTTCTTCACCAGCAAATGCTTCCAGTTCCATTGTCATAGCATCATGGCTTCCTTTGCCATTCACACAACGACCTGATGATTGTCGTTGATGGCTCTGAGATGGATCATCAGGACCTCGAATGTCCTCAGCTCGGACATTCGCAGCCGTTCCAAGGGGTGTTGCATTCGCTCCCGTCAGTGGCCGACCTCTACCAGCATTGTTTTGGTCATTGTCTTGATGCCAATTGTTGTTGTAGTCAGCTCTGCCACCAATTTGATTCTCTCTCCAAGTCATGCGTCCTCCACCTCTTCCACGACCTCTGCCACGATTGGCTGGCCCCAAATTCCCAGGAAAAGGACTCGATTCTGCACGGTCTTTCGAGCCCATCGATGTGACCATCATGGCAGTGAGTTCACTCATTGATTGTGCCAACTTTTCCACGTTTCGCTGTAGCCCATCAATGTCGGTTTTGTCTGACGTCACGGCCCGACTTCTCATGAGCTCGCCAGCTGCTGGCAACTTCCCTTCCATGAGAAGCGTTGCTTTCTCTACTCGCTTGGCTTCTGCCACTGCATGGTTAAAATCAGGAATATCCGCTTTTAAAACATCCAAGCGGAACTCCTTTTTCAGACCCATCACCCAATAACGCCGAAGAGCATTGATGGGAACTCCATCCCCATCAAATGCTTCCCGTTCAGCATGCAAGCATCTATACCGTTCTGCATAGGAGGCCACAGATTCGTCCTCCACTTGTTTAGGGTCATGCAGAGCACACTCAATCTGCTCCAAGTACCCAGGGGCTCTGAATCTTGCAACAAACGCAGCCTCAAATTCATTCCATGTACGCTCATTATCTTCCCAATGAGCGGCCCTACTATTGTACCATGTTTCCGCCTCCTGTTCAAATACTACTGCAGCATTAGCAATCTTTGCTGCTGACGTGTCCCAAGCGTTGCTTCTTGCCACTCTCAAAAAGTGCTTCACCCACACCCCTGGGTCCTCACCCCTTCCAGTGAATGGGCGGGCCTTTGGCTTGACACCACGCATCATATTGCCTTATAATGTACTGAACACTGTCACATGGGCCGCTCGCGTCCTGCCACGTCGCTCGCTCGATACCAGCAGTGACGCTCCACCGTATCAGCGCGATGTGTCACCTTGTAGGATTACACCGTCGGCTGACACAAGCTGACACAATCTGACACGAGCTGACACAAGTTGACACAAGCCGCTGTCCTGCTGACTCCTTGTCACGCAATCCTCGCTGTGGGGACGTGTGTGCTGTGTGGCAAACACGTGATTCCTTGGACACCTCAGCAACCGCAATGAATCGCTGACACCGTCGCAGCACAGCGCGTTGTACTGCTCCAAGCCGTAGCACAGCACTACGAGAGTGGTGCCGCACTGCGCTTCGACCCTTGGGAGGAGGCTCAATCAGTCAGCGAACTGATCCCCTTGGCGGCGGCTGAGCCACTCTGCTACGGCGCACCAGTGGCACGTTGTCGCACTGCCCGTTGGACTCACTCGCAACGTACGATTCTCTCCGTATTCGAGTCAGCAGTGGAAGCCTTGACACAAAACTGACCCCCACGCCTAGCGACAGCTGATCGTCGCTGGTGGTCTTGCCAAAACACTCCAGAAGGGCCACACAAAATGGACTCTGGGCCGCTGAAGTCCCGTCGTAACCAACCGTTCGATGGATGTCTTGAATCTTCGATCCCAAAAAGTTTCTCGGAGACGCCGCCTGGGCAACGTAGAACTCTAGTGCTCTCGGCGCTGAGTCCGCCCCAGGTTGCAACAAGCTAACCTGGTCCGTGTCTCGACTTGCACACCCCCTGCCTCGGGTGCCAAATGACGAAGGCAGGCAGGGTCGAGGGGTGGCGATCCCTGAACGGGAATTATACGCTCGAGTCCACGGCAACGGTTTACAGCCGAGGCAAAAGGACAACAGACGTTCTGTCCTTTATACCCAGTCCGTTCATCAACATCCCTAATGCAATCCTTAGTGCTTCGTCATCTTTTCATACATTCAGTTATTAATAACACTCAATCAGTTCTAGCCGTAACAACGCAAGCGGAGCAATGGCCCATTTCAGAGTTTTGATGGCGTTTAAGCAATAATGCACGCAAAACAACGATCAACAAACAACTACGAAAAGGTGTTGCGGTGCCGGCAGCCCTGTGCTAGCTATGTAAACCTTGCGACAAGAGGGCCTCATCGAGCAGATGTGGCGCCCATTTCCACCACCGCGAAGTGCAACGCACCCGCCCATAAACTTGCCAGAAAGGATGCCCGGGCTGCGTTTTGTCATTTTGTGACAAATGTAATCCATGGATTTTGATGATGATGATGATGATGATGATGATGATGATGGCATCATCATCATCATCATCATCATCATCATCATCATCATCATCATCATCATCATCATCATCCGCAACCCCCATTCTCATTTCCCCATGTTAGCAATTGTTACATACTGCCAGGCTTGGTTTTTACGTTTACGTTTACGTTTTTACTTTTACGTTTTTACGCGTAAAAACGTAAGTTTGCAAAAGACCCTATTTTTACGGCTATTTTTACGTTTTTGCGGCTCCCTTGGACGCCCATATTACGTGATGAAAGTTGCGTACAATGATCGGTCCTCCGCCATATCCAGCACCCGCAACACAGTGTTCACCTCGCCCTTGGCAAAGGCGATGATGGTGTTTGACAAAAACTCGTTTGCTCCCCCTTCCAGGGCGTCTGGCTGCCACTCTCTGGACTCCGTAAGTCTGTATGTACTGTCCTTATATACACTGGGCAGTTTTTACGTTGTATTTACGTATTTTTACGCATTTTTACGCGTAAAAACGTAAAAACTGTTTTTACGTGTAAAAACGTAAATACGATCAGTTTTTACGGCGTAAAAACCAAGCCTGCATACTGCCATCCAGGGCGTCCCAGTAGCCTCAAGCACCCATTGGGCCCACCGCATTGAGCTCGCCTGCCAAATCAGGCGGCATGCAGCAACCAAACAATCCCGAGCCGCCTTTATATTTATCCACATGGCGGAGAGTCGCCCCGACGACGTCAATGACCCTTCGCACCCAAAATGTAAATTGTCTTGACAACACGCAAGCATCCTCTACCCAGGCAGGCGTGAGGCAATACTGTCTAGTGCCAGCCGTGCCTCTGCTCCGCAAACAGCGCCTGAAGACCAGAATGTCGACACCCCAACGCCCGGCAAGTTTCGAATAAGACCTGGCGACACCTTCGCACTTCCACCCCCTCAAAAATTCAACCACATCCCCTGCAGGTGGTGAAATTGGGAAGAAAGGCGTGCGGACAAATTGTGCGGCGCAATATGACAGAGATTACTGAAATTGTCGATTGGCAAAATCGAGCTCTGCAGAGGTATCAAGGTGGCGCAATGGTCCCCCACAACAGTACTCCCGCCAAACCCTTACATCACACCCTACATCACAGCACTAACGAAGTCCGCCACCACTGAGAGCGGCACTATCGAACCCAAAATTCGCTCACCCTTTACAGCCTCTTATGTTCTGTACATTTCGGTTGTTAAAGAATGTGGTGCTCCATTTAACTGACGAATCAAAGAAACCAACGCAGGCTATATGCTAGCGTGCTGTGGTGGACACTGTCAGCAACGCAACTCAAGAATAAGAAAATCATTGCACATGTCCCAGGCCGTCGAAACGGTGGGTTATTGGTCATTTCTTGATGCTCTTGTTCAGATCCCAGTTGACACAATGGCGCCAAAATACTATCCTGAAGTCTGACAGCCCCCCATGATAGCCGGCCATCCTCCACAGCTTCATGCCTTCATTTTCTGTTGCGACGACCCCAACGAGGCTCCCCAGAATTCAAATTTTCCACATGAACAGAGAACACCTTACAAAACCATTTGGCATGAAGTCGTGAAATTTGAAACGGTCGACCGTTTTCAGGTTTTTGCCCGATTTTCAATCCAGTCTCTTTGCCGCTTCCCCCCCCCCACCCCCCTCCAGGCAACTGCCAATTCTTAGACCAGTACCTTTTCTTGGGTCAGTGCATGCCAGCACGGCAACAGGTCCCTGATTGCAGTTGCGGCCCCTGCACCAGCCAAGCGCCACCCATGCCATCCGCCACATCGTCTCAACTGGGGACAGTATCGTAGCTCTTGCCATGAATGCCGCCGGTGCTGCTGCCATTGTCGCTCCCATCTTCGAATTCTTTCGAGCCTTGGCGTTTCAGGGGTTGTTCATCGGCCATCTGAAACATGTGGTCATCGCATTCCTACCATACGAGCAGCACACAGTACGTCCGTCCCAGTCTAAAATAGCGTGGCATATTAAATCCTTCTGCATCAAACATAGCCTTTGGCTTTTTAATGCAGCGCAACAATAACAACGTGGAGGTGCCAGACCAACACCCCCGAAACAGCCTGAAAAAGAAAGCCGTGGCTGGCTTTAAAGGGACTGGGCTCGCCACATCCTGCACTTCCGTTGGGTGACCACGTTGCACCCAAAAGACGAGTGGAAAGCGCCCCTCCCTTGCGCCAATCTCCGCCTCTCCCTGGGCCCGCTCTTGGCTGGAGTTGTTGCAAACCTTTGCCAACGCCAAGGAGCCACAAAGCGTCCAGCGGTCACCCTGATTGTGGGGACCCGTGATTGGGTCGCATGGCGCACCCACCACTAGGAAAAAAAGGTCCAAATAACACGTGTTCAAACGTGTACAAAGTTACAGGTTTGTGTTATCATTGTGTTCTTAGCGTGCAGAACTTGATGAAATGTGTTTTATGTGTGTTCGAAAACGTGTTATTTGGTCCTTTTTTTGCCAGTGCACTGCACGTGCCTGCAGACTGGCCAGCTCCAATTGATTCCTGATCAGCAGGTTGTTCCTCAGCCTACCCCCTCTGGACACAATGCGGGGTTCCAAAAACAAACGGTCTGTCGAAAACTTGCGGAGGAAAAAAGGTGAATAGACTATGGCAAACTATGAACAAGGGCTGGCAGCAACATATACAAAATGCGTCAGATGTGTGCACAGCTGATGCCTCTTGAATTCCAAAACGTGCATTAACAGGAATGACTTCATCAAGTGCCCTGAAACGCTCATCGCCCCACTGACACAATGCATTCAACAGAAATCTTCTTCAACTACTAAATTGACAATACCCTGCAGCTTGCTAATCGCAGCAGGCAGACAACAGAAGAGGTCGCAATGCAATGCAAGCGCAAATGCTGACCCAAGCGACACGGTCAAGTGGACGCAGCTCCGTCCCAATCAGCGGCAGGCAGACTTCCAATACGAGGTTGGACAATCGATGCTTGAATCGATTTGAGCTGCTGAAGAAATTGTCACGCCAAATTCCGCCACTCAGAACCACTTCAGACGTATATGTAAACCGTGCGCTACAGCCAAGTGTAGACCAAAGACACTGAGCAAAAAGGACGGTTGTCCACTTGCAAACGTTCTCTTGCTTCTTTCTTTTCTCCAACAGTTCTTTGAGGCATCTGCTGTGACCATTCGTAGTTCCCTAGGGCAGCACTTAGCGTCCTCTAGTGGGTGCAAAAGCAGCGCTTTATCGAATCTACTTGATGAATGTAATACCCGACTTTTGAATTATGAGGGGATCTGGAGACCCGGCCAGTTGCACTATGTTCCAAGCACGTTCAATGTTTGCTTGTCAACGAGCCAGGCAAACTCTTCCTCCAGAAAAAAAAAATCCTTCGAGGCTCCTTATCACGCTGTCTTCGTTTATTTGACACACATCACATGCAAATAATGGCAGCGAACAGGAAAGATGGCAAAACAACACGCCCTCTTGGTGTGTGGTTCAACAGGAAGGCCAAAAGCTCCATGCGAATGCGACCGATATTGAAGAACCACAGTCATCTGGAGAACACTGCTCGTCACCGTTGGAGAACAACATTTAAGATTGCACACATACCTGGAGGTGGCTGGCACAGTACAGCAATATATGAAACCATCTACAACGTTCACAGTCCATGGAATCTAATCAACAGCAACAGCCACAACACTTACCCACAGCTTTGCAGCAAACACACAAAACTTCCACAGCATCCAAGCATGCACAAGGACGACGACCAGCTGTGCAGATACATAGACACACATCAGTATCCCATCCAGATCTGCCAGTGGTGTACAAGATATCAGATGATACAAAATCCATCTACAGAGCCAGCGAACAGATGTCACTATTCCAACGCTGCAATTTCCACATCTTCTCAACATTGTGTTGACGTTGCCGTTCGTTTTGGAGCAAATTGAAGAACAACCATTGGCCTTTCCGGATGTAAGTACAGCGTTTAATTGCAAGTTAACTGCACCAACACTTGCAGGTGCTAATCAGCGCCCGACATCATTTAACAGGTACAATGGCGCTGCTTTGTCACATTTCAACAGATGCAGCAAAGCAATTCTCACACAAGTGAACTAGCCAACAACGCTGTATTTGTAATGTTCCACTTGAGGGGTGCAAAGCAACAATTCACTCTGATGGCTAGCAATTTCTGTGATAACACAGAGCCTTCCAGGCAAATCTGTGCCTCTACCACTGTGTGCTGCTGTTAGCATGGACCGCTATTGAATTCTTTAGTACTCCAGGCGAGTTTCAGCAGAGGTGACACTTTGCTGTGGGCACCAATTCTGCTTTACCCACCGAAAAGGGAGGAATGCGGTGCCACAGTTGGTACAGAAGGCCTGGATCCTGGACATATCAGTCACAGCAGCATTTCAGGCAATGAAAGACAGGGATGTTACATTGGGGAAAGGCAACTGACTTCAATATCGCCAGATAATGCAAGAAGCGATAAAATGAATTCAATGTATTCAACGTGGCAACATGACAATCGCACATCATTCATGACATATGTCTCCACTGAGTTCAGATCATCAACCAGCATCAGTTTCTCGTCGTCCACAGAGATGCTATAATACAAAATGTCACCTCGACCTCCACATCACAAACAGCATACAAAGCACATGGGTCACCAAAGAAGACAAGATGAACAGATGACACATACAGTAGTTAACAGCAGCCACTCTGTGGAAGGTAACAGGGCAGCGGAATGTTGACATATCCGAAGAACACAAGGATAGAAGACAGCATGACCAAACATGGGCAGGATGCATCCTACGCGTTGGTTCTCATATAAGAGCCATTGCATCCTTGATAAGAACAGCTGACAAAGTGCAAAAGTTCACCTCTCCTGACATGTGATGGAAGCAGGACAAAGTCCCACATAGCACATGCTGGCTGAGCCAGCCTGCAGAAGACAGTTCGGACACACAGGGGCACATGCCGGCAAGGTTAAGATATGTAACAGTATATAGTAGTACATAGAGTAGTACATAGTATATAGAGTACAAAACACCGTGGTAAAGGATGGAACCTGGAAAGTTCGTACGGCCAGGCTTGTCTTTGGCAAGGTGGAAAGAAGAAAAGATATGAAAGGATTGACATGGACAGATTTGAAAATGAACAGGACCAAGGACGAAGGATGCAGTAATGATAAGCCAACACACATTGACGTGGACAAATGAAAAGGGAGTAAGAGAAAGAAAGAATGGCAGAAACAGAAATGCTTTGCCAACATACCTCGATGGCAGTCGCATCCACCCAACCCCTGATCTCAGATACAGGAGTGCCCACAAAGCCAAGGACGCCTGGCATCACAGTCTTGTCCCAATATCCGATTGCCACAAGCAGGTCGGTGCCCACAAAACCCGTGTCAAACGAGCACGTGGGGTCAGACATGAACAGGAACACAGGGTCATCCGATGCTGCAGCATAAGGATGCAGAAAAATGAGTTGCTGCACAGCAAGCTCTGGCACTGAACACTCATATAGGAAAAAGGGTACAATGCAAAACAGGGGGAAAGGGAGGTAAAGAGGAGGGCACACAGCCAAGCACACTGTACTTCCGCCCTTGCACCCTTTTTGGCCGCAAGGAGATTCCCATACTGACAATGATGCTGGGAGGAGCACAAAACAAAATGTTCTTGAAAAGATAGTCACGTGAAGAATCTGTCATACTGGTCGGAGTTGATCAGAAGACCACCAAAGGCGCCAAGGCGTGCACACAAAATGTAACTGTGCAACAAGCATGGGCACTGCGCAAACTCTCACAAGGATCTGCTGTGAAGTACTGCAGGGGTGTGCTGTACTGAGCAGTGCGTCATTTGTACAGTGCATTGGGAAATGCCGGTGTGGACTCCATGGGTGTGTCAGAGGCGAACAGCAAGACAGGCACTTTAGGTTTCGCCACAGGTTTGTGCAACAATGCGATTTGGGTGCCCGTCCCTGGTGCATCCATTGCCATGCACGCTGCACAGAGCTGTGTGTTTTCATGCTACCTCTAGAGACTTCCATATAACCTTTCACACTGTGAAACAGAGCCTCACCACTGTTTTCCCAGAGTGTGACACCCATTGTTTGACATGCCTCTTTCTTGGTGCAAAGGATTCCCTGACATCTGATGCAGGGGTTTAGCATCTCATGAGGCCGACACAGTGCTCATGCATCAATTTGGCGATGCAAAGTAGTGCAGTGGTTTGGCGAATGCAAACTGGTGCAGTTCTCATACGGTGTTCTTGATGTGGCTTTCGTTCAAAAGCATAACATCACATTCTGGATGTCTGAAGATGGTGTTGACGTGTCTGTGGCGGATCTGGGGAAGCAGACTGCAAAGCGCACTGGTGCACCACTTGTGCAATTTCTGCCGCTCCACATGCTTGGGGAGAGTGCAACTGACAGGTGTTCATCAGCCCATTGCCTGCAGAGTCCGCTATCGAAAAGCAGAGTCAGGACCAGCAACAGCACATGCCATCAGAACAGATGCAACGACTCCCTGCACCATTGATCCATCCTCGTTGCCAAACCTGTTTAGCCTCAACCAGACTGACATAGCAATGGGAATCTTGGATCGCATGACAGGGGGAGGTATCACAAGGATTCCCCCAAGTGCCAATCCAATGGTGTCATGCCGGGTGCGATCGCGCACATGGCACGCGGCCCAGGATACCTGTGGGGTATCAACCCAGCACTATGCGCTTATTGTGATCCAGCAAATGATAGCAAGTAAAGCCTTTCGATGTGCACACGAGTGGTTGGATTACTGCAAGCAAGGGCTTCGCTCTGTCTTGCTAAAGTAGAGTCAACACAACAATTTAGCAACCACTCCCAGCCACCCACCCCCAGTCCTCATGGATGACAAGTTCCCCCCCGGCGCCAGCGGCAGCGCACAGATCTTCCTTGCCCTTTCGCTGTCCCCGGCGCTCAGGCAGAACTTCTCATTCACCACTATAAATTGCGCGGCCTCAGCGACATCTCCTCTCAACCGCACAGCAGTCACGACCGTGTTCACCGGCACTGCCAGGTCGGGAGCCGCAAGCGTGGGGTAGATGCCCGCAGTCCCAACATCGACGGCATGAGCCAGATGTGGCAATGCGTACACTGCCACATCATGTCCGCCGGTGTCCAGCGACTTTGGGTGGACTTGGGCAGGTGCACAAGCCTGTGCTGGCTGAGAACAGGAACACGAACAGGTTGACTGGGGAAGATTGGCTTCTCAGCAGAAAGAGACCTGTCATGTTTTGGGCAACCTCTGCTTTGCTAAATGGCAAAACTTGATGCCCAGTGTTGCCTATCAGATTGAAGGGTGCTGTTACAGATTGAAAGTGCAGTGTCTCTGAAATCGCCATGTTTGCAGATGTTAGGGTCGATGTCAGCCGCCTTGCTTACTTCGAAACCAGGGGGGACCTACAGTCTCGACACTTGTGGACATTGGAAACTGAATGTCAGTTGCACTCTGCCACAATAATGTACTGCTGGGGAATGTGCAGCGAGCATCCATGTTGTCCAGCTTCCTCTGCAGACTCATCTGCAGAAGTGCTACGTTTCTCTCCTTGAAAACAGCGCAATGCTACTCATGGGATGGATCAGCACATCAGCTGTACTTTGCTGTTTGCTGGGAAAAGGGAAAAGCAACACTGAGTATGACACATAACCGTGCATGTGAACTATGCATGGAATCAAATGTTAATTGTCAACGTAGGTTACCCATAATTACCTTTGCATACTCAAACTGAGGCAATTCGACTCACAGGCACAAGAGCAGTGAGTTGTCAGGTTTGCTCAGCTGCAATCGATTGGGATGCACATTCCAGGTCCTACCTTGAATGCACACACAGGGTTACAGACATAAGGCCGGATGCCCAGCCGGGGCACACAGCTTGCCGGAGTCAGTGCGTAGTGCTTCTTGATGATCAGTGCTGTGCACATAGGCTGGTCAACTTCACGCCCGCTGTGCACCAGGCCAGGTGTGCGGCTGCTGGGCAGTGTTGTCCATTCCTACACCCACACCCAGCACCATGCCAGCCTTTGTGTCAAAACCCTGCCTCATTACAACTAATCGCTGCTGCTGTTACAACCATGTTTGGCAACAAATTCATGATGTCCATATGCTGTAACCAATGTGCACTAGGCCATTCATTCATCGATGTTGCGTGCATCAATTTTCAGTCATAAGCAAATTACAAGCTGTGACTGCACTCCACCATAGGGGCACCAGGCTAGGGTGAAAGCCATCAGTGAATGACACCCAATCACACAGCCCATGTTCCCATTACTGTGCCAATCTTGCGGACATCTTTCCACACGGATGCCACCTACTTAATAACATGCCAAGCTGTTGTCAACCTATGTTAAATATGCAAGGCCAGGAAGCAACCTTAGGGTGGGCAACCATTCCCGCATCCCCAAATTTTCTTTACGTTGGCCCGATTTAGCCCCGGTTGGGGTCAGGATCTCATATTCCCAGCCAATGTTTGCCAAACATCCAGCTTGGCAACGGTCCACCACCCGCTGTTACTTTGAGGGTGAGCTCAATCACTTGATCTTAGAGCCCAGCAACACAGTAAGTTTTACGGGCAGCCTTTAAAAAGAAGAAACACTCTCTTGCCATTTGCAAGGGAGCATGCACCGCTGCAAACGTCTTGGAGAGTGCACACGATGCAGCTCCACCTGTTGCCCTTTGATAGCTCAAAGCAGAGCTCTTGGTACTGCTTGCACTGCGCACTGAGCACCGCTGTACTGTGTTGGGCACGTCACTGCCGTACTGTACTGCACGCCATACCCTGCGCATGCCTGCTGCCAGAGTCAAGTTCCAGCACAGGGCTTACATTCTGTCACTTTGCATCTGAACGTTTGGGGTGGAATTGTCTTTGTCATGTGCTTTGTGGACGGCCTGGGACAAAGGAACATTGGGTTGTGAAGGGGAAACATCATGAGCACTTACACTCAATACATTTCTCACTAGTACGATGCCACATCAACCTTGGACAAACCAGGTGATGCAAATCATAGGCATGATCGCAAATGACCTTGTTTGCACTGCCAGCACTCTGTGTCTCAACTGGCACATCCTCCTGGAAAGGTTTCCCATCTTCACTGCTTTTGATTCTGATACCGGCAACCTCAGTGGATATTGACTTCCAGGGCAATGGACAACAAGGAGACATGCTGACACAAGAGACACACAATCTGGTGTTTAACACGCAGAGAATCTCAGTCACAATAACAGCCCACCTGTGCACAAGCAAAGAGACACTGGGAGATCAAGCCCACGACACAAGTAGACACGAGATACTGTTGTAATGTTGCAGTCTTCATTGTCCCCTGACACAAACATTTCACACACAGGCAAAGTTTGTCACACTGGCAATTCCTGAAAGTGATCAGAAGTAAGAGTACAACACATGGAACCCACCACAACGAGTTGAGCTTGGAACAACAACTACATAAGGATCTTGACGTGCAGGTCTACTGCACGACAGCGATGCTTTTGTACACATCCACAGCAGCTTGTTGTCCCAGTGTCGATCCACAGTTTGGATTCTAGCCCAGTCACCCCAACCACTCCACCACTCCTCCAAAACCCCAGCCCTCCCATCAACAGTTCATCAAAACAGGCAGACGACTGGTGCTGCAAGGAGACACTGCCTTGTTCAGAATCACGGAGTGGTTCACCACCACGGCTGGATGCTATCCTCGCACAGTTTTCACACAGAACGGAATATTTATCACATGGCATTGTGTCCTTTCTGTCCAGGAGGCCATAGCGTGCCAAAATGAGAAGGGTTCCTAAAAGCAAGGTGCCACTCCTCTTTGCCAACCCCTGGCTTGGAATACGAGGCCACTGCGGACCAGCTGCCGGAGGGCCTGCAGCAAATGCAGGCATGCCTGCCCTCCAACTCCTGGCGCCCTGCGATCGGGTCAGGCGGACCATAGACACACCTTGTTCCAGTTGCGAGAATGAGCCAGCGCCGTTCAATTCCGAACCCGCGCGAACGGCCCCAAAAGGCGGTTCCAGGTACCGAGGCCGCAAAGCTCGGCGCGCAGAATCAGCGTCAGCGACCATCGATGGTCAACGCTCTGCGGTCAACCCTCGTCGTCATGCACCACCCTCGCGAGCACGCGTCCCCCCAGTCATCCCGGCCTTTCCCTATCCCACCAACCCGAAATTCAGGGAGCGATCCCGCACATAAGCTTCCCACCTTGCCGCTATCGGCGCATTCGCATTCTTGGCGCGTGGAAGACCGATGCTGGAACCCCCCCGCGGCCCCGTGCTGTGGGTCAGTTGTTGCAAAGTTCCGCTTGTTGACCAACCGCTGACTATCAGAACGCACCCTGCGCCCGACGGAATCTCTGCGAGCCCCAGCCTCTTAAGAGGCCCTCCCTGCGGGACAGCCACCAGCCGCATCCTTGCCGCACTCGCTTTGGGCAGCCCGTGGCGCATCCCTACGGCTTTACGTGGACCGCCAGGCGTGCCGCGCCATGGCTGACAAAGTGCCGACAATGGGGACAAAGCCACTGTGCACAACATGAGCCAGAGAGCCTCTTGAAACTCTTGGACAGTCGGGCAACCCTACCCCAACTCCAAGCGCATTGATCGAACCCCTCAGATCCAAAACCCAGCCCACGGACCAGGCCGCGTTCCGGCAAATGCATCCACGGACCCAACCCCACCACTGCGCCGCGCCGCCCAGCAACGCTCGCCACGCCTTCCATCCACCGTGCCATTCGCGCGGGACGCTCCGAGCCTTCGGGCGCTCCGCAGGCAAGTACGACGCCAAACCTACCCTTCTCCGGCGCCCACGGACATCCAATAATCCAAAATTCTGCCAGCGCGGGCGCCGCTCCGACCCGGATACGGGCCCAACAACAGGCCGAGAGGCGCCCATTGATCCCAAGGACTGTCGAGGTGACGCACAGAGCAGTCGCTGCGTTTTCTGTGCACACATCCCCCCTTGCCGCGCGCGACCCCCACCCCCACGCCAGCCACCCACCCACCCACACCCCACTACTTGCACGTCCCGCCTGTGCAGAGATGTTCTGGCCATCTCCCAAAGTCCGCACTCGACTGGCATCCCACCTTATGGGGCGTCTCAGCGATCAGCCAAGTCAAGCTTCACGGCGAGGCGCAACCCGCCAAAACGCCGTCGTCCCACAAGTGGCCCGGCGGACCCGCGAGCCGCTTTCCGACACGGACAGCAGCCAAGGACAGGCCAAGTTCAGGCACACTAGTGCGAAGCGCCTTCCACAGAAACTGGCAAACAACATCCCTGATCGCACACCGCCACCCCAGGCCCAACCGCGCCATGCGGGCACAGAGAGGAATATTCTTGCCAGACCTCGGGGAAGAAATGATCGGCGGGCTGCCCACCTCTGGCGCCCAGGCGGCTTAGGGGGATTTGGCGGCGCCACGGTGACGGCTTCCGTGCGTGCTGCCGCTCCTCTCCTCTCTCCAGAGCTTGGTGGCCGCCCGCCCGCCCGGTGACTGAGATGTCAAGGGCCGAGATACGTCTGTGGGCCCACTGACACCCTGGGGGCACATGGCGCCGTGTGTGTGCCATGGGGATGGAACGGTCCAACCTTCAGCCTGGTACAGGCCGCGGCCTTGTGGATTACGTGTCCGTCCCGTAAGGCTCAGGGCATAAAATTACTGGCTGCACCAAATCGGTGACTGCTTGCACCAAGTCACGTGCACATGATGGGGCGTTGGGCGCAGCTGCCTTGAAACATTTTTCACAAGCAACCCTGGGTCCATTAGACGGCGATGACAGCGAGGGCATCGCTGGAATTCCCAGGTCACCAGTCGACCACCTGGGAATGTGCCAAAGAAATTGCCAATTACTTTCATTTGATGATGGAATGACGCTGTCTAACGTTCAGCCCCAGGCTTGGTTTTTACGCCGTAAAAACTGATCGTATTTACGTTTTTACGCGTAAAAACAGTTTTTACGTTTTTACGCGTAAAAATGCGTAAAAATACGTAAATACAACGTAAAAACTGCCCGGTGTACATAAGGACAGTACATACAGACTTACGGAGCCCGGAGAGTGGCAGCCAGACGCCCTGGAAGGGGCAGAAAATGAGTTCTTGTCAAACACCATCATCGCCCTTGCCAAGGGCGAGGTGGACACTACGATGTGGGTGCTGGATATGGCGGAAGACTGATCATTGTACGCAACTTTCATCACGTAATCTGCCGTCCAAGGGAGCCGTAAAAACGTAAAAATAGCCGTAAAAATAGGGTCTTTTGCAAATTTACGTTTTTACGCGTAAAAACGTAAAAGTAAAAACGTAAACGTAAACGTAAAAACCGAGCCTGTTCAGCCCCATACACTGACTAACAGCACCAGTGCATCATTGTTTCCAAATTAATGAACGAAGGAAGGAATAATTGTGTCCTTACCGCACTGTGTCGATTTTGTTTCCCTAGCGCCAAATTGACGCTGAACACCGACCCCGACACCTCCCAGCGTCAGTCCTTGTGTCGACACCGGCATGACTCAGCAACATTACCACATAACGTCACGGAGTACTTCAGTTGCAATTTACATTCGGGAGCATCGGAACGTTGCGGGGAAGTTGAAACAGTCTTCAAGATAGCCAAAATGGCCAGCGCTGCAGCAGTCATTGTTTGTTGAAAATTGGGGCATTTGAACTGATTGCAGGCGCTTGATATCGAGCGTCATTGACAGCATCGATGCTGCCAATTGGGGCATTTTGGCACCTCCCTCAAATCTTAACGCCAGAGAGAGGCTTTCGAACAATTCGTGACTTGTGGCAAGTCAGCATTCCACTGGCTACCTGTGGCGTATCAAGGATTCTCGTAACCGGTACTGGCAAATGGTGATGATCTGGAAGCAGAAGGGCCCGAAACTTTCCTGTATGTCGGTGCTGTTGACCTACGGCGCAGGCTCGGATGCTTGCGCTTCCAGATCATCAGCAACCTTTTCCAAAAGCATTAGATTTCAAATGAGCTCAATGTGCACTCCCTGTTCAATCTGACATCAGTTAAAACCATCTCTTCAAGAGAATCTCTGGCCAAGAAATTCTGTTGCACACACACCGTGGAAGAGGAGTTGTGGAGGCTCTGGGCTGCAGCCTGCAAACCTTGGGCGCCACATTTGTCATGGCTGAAAGCATTCCCCGAGAATCGCCTCTGGGCTCCCAATCTCGTTCTACGTTGCCGTGTTTCACCTTCGAAGGCGAATTCGTCGGGGGTGGGGTGGGGAGGGAAGGGGGAGCCGACGCCGCTCCTGTGGCCTGTGGCGCCGGTGGGAGAACTGAGAGCTCTGCCGACACCGTCGAAAGGCCCGACGAACCCACCATCACCCCTTGCGACGGATCCCACCGACGCTGCTGAGGCTGAGCCATCCTTCCAACCCTTTCGGCGAAGTCACCAGAGGTTGGTCCTTTCCTCAAAATTGGAAATGCACAGAGCTTTTAACCGAATTCATTGGTTTCCTTTGATGGGAAGGGATCCCTGAGCTCCTCCGAAAAATGTGCATGATAGTCGACAGCCTCCTCAGAATAAAAGCCCTTACCAGAGTCTAGCTGACCAGAAACAGGCTTGATGTTTACACTTACGTATTGCGCAAAAAATAAATAAGGAAACTGTCATTTTGACGTCTATATTTACGCATGTTTATGGCTCGCCGACATGCACAGATTCCGCGATTGTGTCCCAACCAAGGATCAATCCTTCACTCTATCCAGCACCGGCAACACAGCACAAACCTCGATTTCAGCAAGAGCAACTACGTTCCGAGCAAAAGCATCATTATATGGATACCTCAGCGCGTCTAGCTGCCACTCCCCTGACTCCCTGAGGCCTGTGTACTGATTCTAAGAACACAGTGTGCAGTTTTATGCAGCTTTAGGCTATTTGCGCGTGAAAACGTCAAACCAATTTGGCGCATAAACATCCGTAAATAGAAAAAGGTTTTGTGCCGTGAATACCAAGCCTGATCAGAAATTAAGTGTTGCCCTGGGCAGATGTGCGCAGCTTTGGTTGAACGTAAATTTGAGACAAACAGCCAAGTTCCTAAAGAAGCCTCTGTATAGTACTCGATGCGAGTTGGCGCGGCTACATGTATGAGCGAGCAGCGGCCATGCAAAAGCTTCCTGGGAGAACGGAAAGGCCAAAACTATGCAGAAGATTAGCGCATTGATTGCACGACCATCTACACTAGGCCCCCTCTCAGATGTCTCTCCATGAAACTCCGGATCAATGCCTATGATCATGTACCACAGTTGGCCAGCTGTGGTAGATGATCATAGGCATTGATCCGGAGTTTCATGGAAGTTTCAGGCCATGGCC